TTCGAAGTCTGTAAAAGTGCTGGAGGAGTGTAATCTACGTTTGAACGGGTAGTGTTTTGTTGTTGTGCCTTGGCGCTCGAGCGGGTCTTTTGCACTCGAGCGGGTTAAGTTTTTGTGTCTGACGCTCGAGCATCTTATTCTCCTCTCGAGCGGGTCATACGTATATCAGATTGCAGCTGGGTCATTTTAAATCACTTTTTCAACTTTCTCTCTCTCTAACTTTTCAAAACCCGCAGTCTCTCTCTCTCTCTTCACTCTCTCTCTCTCTCTAAGAATCCATCTAGTTCTAGAGTGTTTCTACCTTGGTTCCTTTGTATAAAAGGTAGAGTTTGGCTTGGGCTATCTTTGGATCCGAAAAAGTGTTGATTTGGAACATTTTATGGTTTCTTTATCTTTCCCTTGGGCTTCAAACTTTCAGGGATAACTACTCATATTTATGATCTTTGACATAAACTTGTAGTCATTTTGATTTAATGTTGTAGTTGGGAAAGTTTCGAAGTTAGGGTTTTCAAACCTTAAAATGTATAAAGAGGGGTTTTTGTTCCATTGAACTATATATATGTATTTGAGCCTTAAAATGAAGTTATTGAGGTCCATTGATGATATTTGGACCTTTGGGTCAATATTGTGGAAAAAAGGGGAAAATACCTTAGCTGGGATTAATTGGGTCATTTGTGAAATTAATGACATTTATTATGAGGTAATGAAATTGATTTGGAAATAATGAAATTGAGAAGTTATGAGAATGAATGGTGGAGTTGAATTGATTAATCACTCGCCTTTGAAATTGTTGATAATTTATCTGTTGACGCATTTATTATCTGTTTATAAATAATTGTTTTGGGCTATCGGTGGATGATAGTCTTGATTGTTGTAGACACTGCATGATGATTAGGTGAATTAAAACTAATCAATTGGTTATGTCATTGAATATGAGGGATGGAATAACACATTGAATATGTGCTTTGCTTGATCATTGTATATGATAAGTGTTTAAATATATTGTATATGTATATTGTTTGGGAGGAGATAGGGGATGTACTTCATGGTTTGAAAGGAGATAGGGGATGGACTCTCAAACCTGTTTGGGAGGAGATGGGGGATGGACTCCATTAATACAGCAAATATGTGTATTTAATTGAAGTATTGGAAGTGTTTTAATATGAGTTATAGTCTCATTGAATTGTTTGGCCAGGTTCTGAGCCATGACTTTGAATTGAATTGTTTGGCCAGGTTCTAAGCCATGACTTTGAATTGAATTGTTTGGCCAGGTTCTGAGCCATGTTTATGAATTGAATTGGTTAAGTAAAGGAAAGTGGAATGAAACATGGGCATATTTGTCATGGAACTGGAATATGTTATAAGTTGGTTTATACGAGTTAAGCATTTATCAAATGCTAATGTCTTAGTTATTGCTCATATTATGTTTAGCATATCTCTACTGGGCGTTGGCTCACCCTATATGGGACATCATTTTCAGGTGCAGGTGATATGCCACCTCTAAGGATGTAGCTTGGGAGGTTGTAGAAGCTGAAGGCTTACTTTTGTGATTATTTTGTGTATTACATGTATATCAAGCCAAGGGATTATTTTGTGTAAAGAGTTAGAATTCTATTTTTGTTGAACCCAAGTGTTGTCTTGGAAAGTTGTAAGCCTATACGGCATTTACTTTTGTTGTCAACATGTAATATCTCTTGTAAGAATACCCTGATGTTGGGAATATGATATCTCTCTTGTATCATGAATGTATGATTATGAGTTTATTTTGAGGACGTTACAATATCCTTTCTGAGATAATCCTAGCAATCCTCGTGATCGATCCCTAAAGATCTCTATGCCAATAACATAGTTTACCTCACCCATATCGATCAATTTAAAGTTCTTGGAGAGATATTCTTTGGTTTCATGCAACAAGCCAAGGTCATTACTAGCTAACAAAATGTCATCCACATATAGCACAAAAATAATGGACTTACTCCCACTAACCTTCAGATATATGCACTGATCAACTGCATTTTCCTTAAATCCGAAGGAGGTCATGGTATCATTAAACCTTAAATTCCATTGTCTGGAAGCTTGTTTAAGGCCATATATGGATTTCTTTAATTTACAAGCTAAATGTTCTTTACTTTTCTCTGCAAATTCTTCTGGCTGCTCCATATAAATTTCTTCATCCAAATTCCCATTTAGAAAAGCAGTTTTCACGTCTATTTAATGCAACCTAAGTCATAATGAACTACCAACGCTAGGATGATTCTAAGCGAGTCCTTCTTAGATGTTGGAGAGAAGGTCTCTTTATAGTCTATGTCTTCTTTTTGAGTAAAAGCCTTGGTAACAAGTCTGGCTTTAAATCGTTTATTATTGCTTTTTGCGTTGCGCTTGGTCTTGAAGACCCATTTACACCCGACCCTTTTACAATTATTAGGCAATTCGATGAGATCCCAAACACCATTATGTTCCATGGATTTTAACTCTTCATTTATAACACTAACCCATTTAGTAGAATCATCACTATTCATGGCTTGTGAAAATGAGACTGGATTTTTGTTAATCCCAATATCAAAATTAGATTCCTGTAGATACACCATGTAATCATCTTGAATGGCAGGCTTTTTTCCCTCTAAGATCTTCTTAGAACTTCCAGTTGTGGTGGTTCTATAGTATTTTCAATGGTGGAATCTTCATGAAGTGGTGAAACATGAGGTGGTGAAGGATTTTCATTGTGTTGTTCGTTTCCCTCAGCCTGTGGAATAGTTTGAGGAACAGCAATTTTTCGATAAAGGCCAAATGTTGGCACATCCACCCTAATTTCCTCAAAATTCACCACTCGTGTTTTCTCACTCTTACTAATTTCACCATTCTCTAGGAATCTAGCATTACCAGCCTCCACTATCCACGTACTGTGATTAGAACAATAAATTTGTACCCTTTAAACTTGTCTGGATAACCAATGAAATATCCATATATTGTTCTTGAGTCTAACTTTTTTCTCTTGTGGGTTGAAGATTCTTGCCTCTGCTGAACAACCCCAAATGTGTAAGTGTCTTAAACTAGGTTTCCGACCAGTCCACAACTCAAAAGGAGTTATTGGGACCGCCTTACTAGGAACCCAATTTAAGACATGCATTGCAGTCTTTAAAGCTTCACCCCACAGTGAAATGGGTATAATTGAGTAACTCAACATACTCCTATAACCATATCTTTAAGTGTACGATTACACCTTTCAACAACTCCATTCTGCTGTGGCGTTCCAGGCATTGTGTATTGAGAACGAATGTTTTTATTCTCTAAGAATTTGGCAAATGGGCCAAGATTTTAGCCTGACTCATCATATTTACTATAATACTCACCATCCATGTTTGATCTTACTATTTTAACCTTTCTATCTAATTGTCTCTTGACTTCAATTATGTACACCTCAAGGATGTCAACAGCCTGAGACTTTTCATGAATTAGATACACATCCATAACATGAGAAATCATCTATAAATGTGATGAAATATTTTTCACCACTAAGACATGGGATGTTAAGTGGCTCGCAAATATCTGTATGAATTATCTCAAGAAGCTCATTACTTCTTGTGGCACCTTTCTTGGTGGGTTTGGTTTGCTTTCCTTTAATGCAATCCACACATATCTCAAAATCAGTGAAGTCTAGGTTTTTCAAAATTTCATTCTTCACCAATTTTTCAATTCTATTTCTAGAGATGTGCCCTAACCGTCTATGCCACAAGATTGAGGATTTTTCATTAATTAGACCACGTTTTAAACCAATATTTGAATGCAGAGTTACTAATGATTGTGTGAACTCATGATTTAAGGCAATTTTATATGAACCATCACATAAATTACTAGAACCAATCATTATTGAATTAAACATTAAATTGAGTTTACCACAACTAAATAAAACTGAATATCCAACACGATCTAATTTGAATAACGAAACTAAATTTCTAGAAATTGAAGAAACATAAAAAGTGTCTTCTTGATCCATCTGATGACCCATCTCTAAGATCAGTCGATAGGTTCCTACAGCTACGACTTCAGCTTTGAGACGGTTCCCCATATAAACAAATCTTTCAATTTCCTTCGATTTTCTAGTTGAGAGGTATCCCTGCCTGGAATTTGTAATGTGGGTCGTGGCCCTAAAGTCAATCCACCAAGTGTTAGAAGGTACTTTAGTAAGATTTGATTCATAACAAACAAAAGAAAATTTCTTACACATAAAAAGTGTCTTCTAGATCCATCTAATGACCCATCTCTAAGATCAGTCGATAGGTTCCTACAGCTACGACTTCAGCTTTGAGACGGTTCCCCATATAAACAAATCTTTCAGTTTCCTTCGATTTTCTAGTTGAGAGGTATCCCTGCCTGGAATTTGTAATGTGGGTCGTAGCCCTAAAGTCAATCCACCAAGTGTTAGAAGGTACTTTAGTAAGATTTGATTCATAACAAACAAAAGAAAATTTCTTATATTTCTTTTTGAACCAAGCCTTTCGCTTGGTGCAGTCTTTCTTCACATGCCCCTTCTTGCCACAAAAGTAGCACTTGACAGTGAAACCATTCTGAGCCTAATTTTCTTCCCCAGACCCATTCTTTTTCTTAGGTGGATTGTTCTTTGATTTTACAAAATTACCCTTCTTTTTCTTTATAGCTCTATGAGTTACAGCCAATGCAATTTGACGTCCTTCCTCCCTCAACCTTATTTCCTCCTGAACACACATATTAGTCAGCTCATTCAAACTCTAATTGTCTTTATTGGTGTTATAGTGAATTTTGAATGCGCCGAACTGTAATGGAAGTGAGTTGAGAATAAACTGCACTAGGAAAGTTTCATCAACTAGTATCCCTAAAGTTTTAAGCTTTATAGCTTTGCAGCCATATCGAGGATGTGATCCTGAACTCCTCGGTTGCCATCATATTTTATACATAATTTAATCCAACTCTAAATTTTATATGCATTAAGTATTGAAAATTATACATATATATTATATAAGGAAATGAGTGTTTTTAGTGAGGAGCCTTGTGAGAGTTTCAATATTTCATACTAATTTTCTTGATTTTCTTAATTTTAAATAATTAAGAAAATCTCTATTGGTTAGCTTTTATTTGATAATCCCATTGGTTAGCCTTGTTTGATCTAATTAAAGATTGAAAGATAGAGATTGCTAGATTAGAAATAAACTTTCTGTCCAAATAATTGTTAACTTTTATTTTATAATCCCACATCAGAAAAAGAAAAAAAAAAGTCAGTTGTTTCACTTATATAAAGTGAATCTTAATAATATAGTATTGTGTATACTTCAATTCAAGACAGTTTAAATTTTAAAATTAAAATAACATTTAAAAGTTTTAATTAATTAATTTTTGTATAAATTGGTTGGTCATTTGACCTAACTGATTGGGTTGAACCATTTTGGGTTTGACCGATTTGCCTGTTCAATCGCTATTTTTCATACTGGTTTTATTATTTTTAAACAATTAAAAAAATTTCTATTGGCTAACTTCTATTTAACCATATAAAAATAAAATTCTAATTAGTTTATGATTTATTTTATAATCCCACATCGGGAGAAGAAGAAAAAGCAAAGTTTGTTTCACTATCTATCCATCGATCTATCTATCTATCTATCTATCTATCTATCTATTATATAAGGAAAAGACTGTTTTTAGTGAGGAGCCTTGTGAGAGTTTCAGTATTTCATACTAATTTTCTTGATTTTCTTAATTTTCTTAATTTTAAATAATTAAGAAAATCTCCATTGGTTAGATTTTATTTCATAATCCTACATCAGGAAAAGAAGGAAAAAAATGAGTTATTTTACTCATATAAAGGGAATCTTATGCTCTCATCTCATTTAGTGAGGAGCCTTGCGAGAGTTTCAATATCTCATACTAATTTTCTTGATTTTCTTATTTTTAAACAATTAAGAAAATATCCATTGACTAGCTCTTATTTGATAATCCCACATCAAAAAAAGAAGGGAAAAAAAATGAGTTATTTCATATAAAGTGAATCTTGTACTCCATCCCATTTAATATTGTAGTTTTGTCTATAACGCCCCGAAATAATTCAACATGAACTACCCACAAATAATCAACATTTACCCAACAATAACAATAATCTGCCCATCTTAACATAATTACTAATGAATCTTTACAAAAGTTTTACATGCGGGTATACATTCATCAATACAAACAAATGAATTTATAGCATGTAAAGCATCCATTCTCAAAGCAGTACACCCTTAAGGGCTTACATCTTCCAAGGCATAAGCCTGGTTACACAAAAATGATTTCTGCAACCCATACACATTAGCCCTTGGCTCAAAAAGAATTACACAAAATAAAAGAGCTATGTACTATTCTCAAAAACATCCACGCCCTCAGTTCAGTGGGATCACCATATCTTTACCTGCATCAAATCCCATAGGGGTGAGCACAAAGACCAGTAGAGAATTCTTACAAAGTATATATAGTTATGCATACTCTTTAAAACCATGCAATTGTTAATGCCATGCCATGCATCCTTATAAGAAAGTCTATTTCATTCACATTTAAAAGTTTCTATCTTTCCAACAATCATTTGCAATCTCAACATTTTTCCCAAAATTTCCAATCATTAATCACTAGGGGCAGTAAATACGACACTGGTAATCCATAGGCTGGTGTCTGCAAGTAGCCTCTACGAGTACTACCAAACTGTCATTTTTACTGGTATTAACCGAAAGGCTCGACACCTATCCGCGCGGTTTTCTGGTCTTTCACCAAGGACACTCAGGCCAACTTATCAAATTCAACTACACCCCCTATCTGGACTTACCACATATTTACCCCATTCACATTTCCATAATTCTTGTTACAATATGATGTTTCTCAAAATAAAAGTCTTTTCAAAACATGTCAAGGTGCACAATAATAATAACTCAATTGAAATATGATGCAATAATTACTATTCTCAAACTATCTCTACAACAATATCAATCAATCCATTTCTCATTTCTTTCTTTCAAGTCATTTCACAAAATACCCAAATGTCTTCAACACACAATAACAATTTCCCCATCATACACAATCCTTTTATGCACAACAATTTGGTCATCACAAAATTATATCATCATGCATTCAACTATAGTCTTTGAAACAAAAACTCTCCATGTCAATGTGCATATCACAAGATGGTCATTTTTCAAAACGCTCATGAAGTCTACACTCATTTACTCTTTTTATCACAAGAAGAATAAAAGTAGCATAGATGTTTCCTTCCCTTCCCAAAATCCCCAATTTCTAGGGCTTTTATAAAAAATCTAACATTTGTTCACTTCAAGGTGAAAACCAACCCAAATCACATCTTATGAGTCAAATGAAAGGAGAGCCCCTTAGGGAGAAAAAAAGAGTTGAGATTTTAGAAACCCATATTTGAAAACTCTCTTTCTCTTTCTTCATTTAGTGCAAAATTTAAAACCAACACAACTACTTCATAGTAACTTTAAAATCAACATTTTGTGGCAAAACAAATATATATAACTCAAAAATTCCCTACCTCAGATTGATGAAGAAGGAGATGGAAACCCTAGCCTTGAGATAGAGGATTCTTCAATGTTCCGCAACCCCAAGAGAAGCCCCAACTAGATCTTCAAGATTTGAGAGTGTGATTGATGATCTAAACCCCAAGAATTACAAGGATCAAGGAGTTTCAATGTTTGGGAAGGTTTTCGAGAGAGAAGGAGGAGAGAAAATAGGTTTTAGAGTGAGAGAATGAGCCCCAAAATGTGTTATAAGTTCGGCCAAAAATGTAAGAAAAATAGGGTTTTCGGACTGCCCAAGTCCCGCACGTACGACGCCCATCCCCGCACATGCGGTGCGTCCCTCCCGCACATGCGGCACTCCCACCCCGCACGTGCGGCGCTTCCCGCACCTCCCTTACGCACGTTCCTTTTAGGCAGTGTGCAAACTCCATTAGCTCCACCCTCACCGCACGTGCGGCCTAGCCCCCCACACGTGCGACCCCCACCCCGCACGTGCGGCCCTTGCCAGCAGCCCATAATTTTTTTTTTTGATTTGGTTCCCGGACACTTCGGACTCGCCCTAGCGCTCACCGGAACAAGTGAGATTCAACACCGAGAACAAAACACGAACGAGAGCTTTGATTTGAAATAACTTCCAAATGTTTTAAACCCAACGGAAACAAGAAAGGGTGAAGCCAAAGGGAAAGAAAAGAAAATAAAGGAAACCCGGCCATTACATTGTCCATGTTTTAATTCAATATAGTTTCAATTTTAAAAGGTTAAATTAATTAATTATGACCTAGCCGATTATGCTAAATTATTTTTGATTTGATTGATTTGTTGGTTTAACCACGATTTTAGCAATTTTATCAAAATATATTGATTAGATTTGTTTAATTCGAAATAAACTAAAGATTGATCAGATTAAAGATTGAAAGATTAAGATTGCTTGATTAGAAATAAACTTTTCGTCCAAATAATTGATAATTTTTATTTTATAATCCTACATTAGAAAAAGAAAAAAAAAAAGAGTTGTTTCACTTATATAAAGTGAATCTTAATAGTGTAGTATTCTGTACACTTTAATTTAAGACAGTTTAAATTTTAAAATTAAATAACATTTAAAAGTTTTAATTAATTAATTTTTGTATAAGTTGGTTGGTCATTTGACTTAATCGATTAGGCTCAACCATTTTGGGTTTGACCGATTTGCTGGTTTAATCGCAATTTCTCATACTGATTTTATTAATTTTAAACAATTAAAATATTTCCATTGACTAACTTCCATTTTACCATATAAAAATAAAGCTCTAATTAGTTTGTGATTTATTTTATAATCTCACATTGGGAGAAGAAGAAAAAGCAAAGTTTGTTTCACTATCTATCTATCTATATATTATATGAGAAAAATGAGATTTTTAGGGGAGAAGCCTTCTAGGAGCTCCAAACTCTTATTTTAAAATTATTGAATTTTCTTAATTTTAAACAATTAAGAAAATTCCGATTGGCTAGCTTCCATTTAAGTTTTATTTTACAATCTCACATAGTGGTTTTTATTTAAAAAAACATTTTGTATGTGATTTTGAAACTCTCATAATATTTCTTCTTAAAAGTATTATTTTGTAAAATATATAGATATATCGATAATCTCAATATCACTCTTACTGTTTCTTAACATAAAAATTATGAGATAATTATGATAATTTTAAATTTGTATTTAAAATTTATAAATTATGAGATAGTTTATTATAATTTTAAATTTATATTGTATCGATTTTAAATTTAAATTAATGAATTGCTTTCCATATTCAATGACAGTTTAAATTTTAATAAAATAAAATTTAAAAATTTTAATTAATTAATTAATTTTTTTGTAATCTAGTTAGTCTTTTGACTTAACTGATTAAGCTAAATCATTCTTGGTTTGAATGATTTACGACGACTCTTTCTTACCCTTTAAGTTTTTAAAATTTCTTTAATTATTTCCCTTTCCAAAACCAATATGATAATTTTTTAAAATTCACATATTTTTATTCTAAAATTGTGAAGTATTAGAATTATGCCATTTTTTTTATAACAAAGTATAATTTTAATTATTAATTGTTAGTACAATAATTTTAATTTATCTATACTATATATTATAGTAAAGGAACATTTGAAAGAAAACTCTTAAACTTATATATAAAATTTTATTTACGAGAGACAAAATATAAAAAAAATCAAATATAATTATCATATTTTTAATAAATGATATATTATTTTATTACGTACAAAATACGGGTGATATGCTAGTTTTATATGTATTTTTATCTTTCAAGAAATCTTATTTTTGTAATTTAAAGATATTTATATTTTCTATAACCACACATTTATTTACACTTACTTTTAATAATATTAAAATATCTTAGGACATATTGTAGGATACCATAAGTAATTAAAAAAAAAAAAAAAAATTGATATTCGAATCGTATTCTTATATTTCATCCATAGTTGAGTGTTAGATGGCCATCTTTGTCA